TTTTTTTTTTTTTTTTTGTAAACTCATAATAACCATTTGAGGAAAAGAAAGCATCACTCCTTTCTTCTGTCTTGGCAAAGTCCTAAAAAAAATGATGAATCCTAGAAGTAATTAAAAATAAAAACATGACAAACTCCGGGGATGTGGAAAGCCAACCCAAATTGGAGGCGGCAAATGAAATCATAAGCAAGGAGAAAGGAAAAAAAGGGGGGGGTGTCAAAATGCAGTACCTTTACAATTCTTACCATAGGAAAAAAGTCTTAAACATCAGGGAGGTATGAAGTTTGCCCCTCACTTAGGAAAACATCACGCTATTCTAAAGACAGAAAGAGAAGCCGGGTCATCTTTGAAGTCTGAGTCTGTAAAAACTACCATAAAATAAACTTTTCCCTAAGGGATTCATTCTCAGACAGAATAATACAAGAGAAGGGAAATATGCCTTCACAATAAAACTTCAGTCAGTACTCAGCATCTGGAAGCTTCTTGCAGTCAGGGCCCTGATAAGGAAAATACTTTCATTTGTTTTGTCTTTGCAGGCTAGCGTGGAGACCTGAGGCACGTGCGTACTACCAAAAATAACGGGAAATTTGGTGTTGTGGCACATTAGCCCTGGAAGAAACCAACAGATTCGTTTTCTTTGCTGTGTAACTAATTACTACCAACTTAATGGCTTAAAGCGAAACAAATTCATTATCTCATAGCATCCACGGAGCCTGGGGATAGTTTAGGTAGGCCCTCTGCCCAGGGTGTCACAGCTACAATCAAGGTGCTGTCTGGAGTTCAGGGTTCTCATCCAAGTTCATTCAGGTTGTCAGCAGAATTCGGCTATAGGACTGAGGTCCCCATTCCCCTGCTGGCTGCAGGCAGCTCAGCTGTCCTTGTAGCCTAGCCCCATGGCCCTCTCACCTTATGGCTGCTTAGTTTTTCAAATCAGCAGGCTCTTTATTCACTGTTATAGATACAGTAGCTCATATTCAAAATGGTCGGGAATGGAAGTGTTTTGGATTTTTTTATAATTTTGAAATTTTTGTATTATACTTACCAGTTGAGCATCCTAAATCCAACAATCTAAAAACCTGTACTAACCAGTCTTACAATCATGTTATCTTGTTAACCATCTATTAAGGGGAACGACTACATCATTACCTTAGCCATATAACATAACTTACTATCCCATCAAATCAATATCCCTGGCCACACTCAAGGGGAGGGCGGGGATTAATAGGTTGTATACACAGGGCACAGGACACTGGAGGACATCTCGGAATCCTGCCACCCACACCACCAACATCATCTGGGCAGCATTTGCACTTCATAGATGGGGGAAACTGAGGCCCACAGAAGATAAACTAAACTATCCAGAAAGTCATGAAGTAGTTGTCAGGACGGAAAGAGCTCGATCCCAGTCTCCAAACTCCCAGTTTAGCGTATCCTTCTGCCCTTGGCATGATGAGAGGTAAGGAAGGGTGCATTTAAGGAGAGAAGGGGAGAAAAGCTCTGTGCTGGTCAGCTAAGCCACTCAGCATCGTGTGGATTCTACAATTCCCAGAAGCCTGGAAAGAACGCTGACCTGGAGGGCGCTGGCATGGTGACTCAGTCTGCGTGAGGAGCCGTAGTCAGCAGGACTGGTCAGCAAACAACTGGTACTCTCCATCCAAGCCTCAGTGCTCTTCAGAAGATCACCACATTCCTCCATCTTAAGCGTGGCCTGTGAAAGAGAAGGCACCAAACTCAGTGGGATGCTACTTCCTGGGGTGAATGACTCTGGCATGAAGAGTTGCGCTGTTACTCGGTGATGCGTCAGGTCGTGCAGGGCGATATGCTCTGGGTCTGGGGCTGCTTGTCCACCTGCTCCACATTACGATCCTTCCACCTTCTAAGACTACTCCCAACCATAAATGGAACGGATTTAAGAAGTTCCACTCCACCACTACAGGCCTCAGCGAGAGTTCTGGTCAGTCTGGCAACTGCTGTGGTGCTGCTTTACACTTCCATGTGAACCTGGGGCTTGTACTTTGTCCTGTTCAGGACCTTGTCCTGTTGTTCTAAGACTCAGCTGCCGCCTCCCTCTTGCTAAGAAACATACTCAACTCACCCAACCACAGGGCCCGTTCAGAACCAGGGTACAGAGGAAATTTTGTTCCAAATGACAGTCTTCCCCCTAGACAGCTCCCTCCCTGGACACCTGAGATTGCTAGCTCTAAATTCTCCTCCCTGGTCTTCATGTACCCACTGGGAAGCCAGGTCGCTTGCCTGGATGCCTAACCTCTGGCTTCCTCAGTCTGGCTGTCCAGTCAGACTTCCTGCTTGCCTTAGTATTGAAATCTTTCCTCTCAGTGCCCATGTGAGCCTACCATGTGGCTCTAGCTTAGGGTCCTATAAGTGGCAATCAAGGAAACTAGCTGCCTCTGAAAATATATTTTGCTTTGCTTGAAACCCATCTCAATACTACTATGTGTCCCAGCCACACCTTGTTTAACTGCGAGGTTCTGCATTCTGCCCTCTGTGACACCTGCTGGTACTGCTGGAAAGGGACCATCAACTTATCCATCCACTCTGGTGCCTGCCCCGGGTCGTGTTCAACCATGTCCTGAACTTCAGAATCTAGCTCATTCAGCTTGGAATGCCAGAGGTCGAGTTCATCCCACATTTTCTGGAGAAGGAAATCATAAGACAACTTTATTGTGGTAATTCCTGGTTTGCTCCCAGTATTTGCATTTGTAAATAATACCAAAACATCAGAGAAACAACATCACAGCCATAGTTACTAATATCCAGCAACCGTTTGTGATCTAGGCTGAAAAACACTCACCTTGAACTCTCCTATCTGTAATTGTATGCACCTCAGTACAAATAAGCTTCAGGGGGACGGGAAGACACGGACGGACACTTCTACAAACAAGGTCAACATGGCCCTCACCCTTCAAGGCTAATGAGAACATTACACATAAAAGAGGGCTTGGGGAAATAGTTGAACCTGCTCAGATCAGTATATACATGTACTTAACCTAGAAGAAAGTATCATTCAATATAAAATGAAAACTAACAAAAGAAAAACATCTGCTGACTCAGGATAAATGGAAAGGCAGAAAGCTCTAGCCACATGTATTAAACTGCTGTTGGCTCAAGGAACCAATAGGTTAGATTTGAATCTGAACTTGTCTGGGCATATAAAAATTTCAAAAGTAAAAGATTCAATTCTTACTTAATATTTGTTTAAGAACATAATTCTGAGAAATGGGAAAATCTACCTACTTAAATTAGGTTCCTTTGCTTAAGAGTCCAAGATTTTACATGAAAGTAAAAGTTTTTTTATGTTCTCAGAACATAATTCTGAGAAATGGGAAAATCTACCTACTTAAATTAGGTTCCTTTGCTTAAGAGTCCAAGATTTTACATGAAGTGTAAAAGTTTTTACATGTAAAGATTTTACATGAAAGTGTAAAAGTGTAAAAATTTTAAAAGTTCCCAAGTATACAGAATATTTCTTTAACATACAGATTAGAGTAAGAATCCTGTTCATAAACAAGAGTTTACTATAAAGTTAAGAAATAGAATATCGGGCTCTGTGCCTGTGGCTCAATTGGCTAAGGCGCCAGCCACATACACCTAAGGTGGCGGGTTCGAATCCAGCCAGGGCCTGCCAAATAACAATGACGGCTGCAACCAAAAAATAGCCAGGCGTTGTGGTGGGCACCTGTGGTCCCAGCTACTTGGGAGGCTGAGGCAGGAGACTTGCTTGAGCCCAGGAGCTGGAGGTTGCTGTAAGCTGTGATGCCACAGCACTCTACCCAGGGGGACAGCTTGAGGCTCTGTCTCAAAAAAAAAAAAAAAAAAAAAATAGAATATTGGAGGCACCTATAGCTCAGTGGGTAGGGTGCCAGCCATATACACTGAGGCTGGAGGGTGTATAAGCCTACCATGGAAAAAACAAGTATAATTCTTAAATGCAACTTTCGGTGTCAAGTCTCTGCAGGTGATGCCCAAGTGGATCTGGTTTAGGGACTCTATGCTTCCAAGGGCTTGGTGCAGGTAGCACAATAGTTACGGCACAAGTCACATGTACCGAGGGTGGAGGGTTCTAACCCAGCCTGGGCCAGCTAAACAGTAATGACAACTGCAACAAAAAAATAGCCAGGCACGGTGGCAGGCAGCTGTAGTCCCAGCTTCTTGGGAGGGTGCTTAAGCCCAAGAGTTTGAGGTTGTTGTGAGCTGTGATGCCACTGCACTCTACCAAGGGTGACACAGTGAGGCTCTGTCTCAAAAAAAAAAAAAAAAAAAAAAAAGGAATTCACTTTGTGATGATGACTGATGGGGGTGAGGGGAGAGGCGAGATCAGAAACACCAAATGCGGAAGGGAGTTAAAGTTAAAATGTTACCTTTTGAATTTCTTGTGCTTTCTCAATATTTTTGCTTTTCTGCTGCAACATCTTTTCAACATTACGAAGCCCGTTGTTAATTTCTTCTATTTTTCTGTTCATTGTATATGACGGTAAGCTTTTCAAGACTTCACTGCTAATCTGTTACCAGAGACAGAGATGCATTTAGCTTAGAGAAGTTTTCTGGACTCTATCCACAGGTTCAAATGACAGAAGGGGTAGTTACTCTTTTTACTTCTAAGACCTGGAGGAAAAAACTTCTAAGCCATACTGGTTGATGCCTGAATGAAAGAATAGATTAGCAGACTACTAAATGGCAGCTGTGTTTACCTGGCCATCCAATCTTTAAAAAAAATAAGAAAAAAATGTTGAATGTCATCCACATATATGTTACAGATATGTGCTGTGTTGGAAAAAATTACTGAGTGGCCCATCTGAAACGCACACACATGGATCAAATGATATGAAAGAATTCCTGGGAAATTATTTATTATACAATCTTTCCATTTTATGCTAAAAACTTCTGCACAGATCTGTTTTCAATGAAAACCAGACTTACTCTCAACCTGGCTTAAAAGAAGTTAATTCCTACCATAATACTCATTTTGGTAAAACAGTCTTCCAAAAATAGATATTTCTTGAGGCTGCATAGAGCTTAATTTTTCTCTGGGTGACTGTTTCTAGTAGCTATTTTCCAGCAATTAGAAATCTAGCTGGCAAACAGTCTAACTTTTTTTATCTAAATGATTTTCATAAGAAAATAACTGTGCTAGGAAAGATAACAAATGAAGGGTGAATGTTATCATTTTCCAAATACCTGACTGGTTTGTGTTCTTGTTTTGGTACGTTGATAAGGCTTTCTCCAAATTAGGGTGGGGAACTTGTGGCCTCGGGGCCACATGTAGCCTTCGGGATCCTGGAGTGCAACCTTTTGACTGAATCCAAATTTTATAGAACAAATCCTTACAATGAAGCAATTTGTTTGTGCAGTTTAGATTTCAGTTGAGAGGCCACACTTGGGGATCTGGAGACCACATGTGGCCTTGAGGCTGCAGGTTCCCCACTCATCCTTTTAGTTTTCTGAAGAAAAAATACCCACTAGGTTTGTAAGAACCACTGAGATCAGACCCATCCTATGTAGACAGCCCACAGATGCAGAAACATAGGCTAACTGACTTATTAAAGTCACATGTAAGGTCAGTAGTAGAACTTGTCCCTTGAAGCCCCCAGAACCCCTGACCACAAACCCCGCACTCTGTTCACATCATCGGACTTCAATACTTTCACAACCATGTTTTTATTCCACAGACCGACCATACCACAATCAAGATCATTAGAAAGAAAATCCCACTTTTGATCCCACATTGCTTTCTTATTGTTACTTATAGTATTGTTACAAATTACTATAAAACAAAGTGTAATGATATTTCAGGCAATTATTCTCCTTTCCCCTGGTGGGAATGTATACCACTGAGATGCCCTAGAAGAGATTATGATTTACGAACAGTAAATAGCCACCTGAATTTTATACAAGGGTGCTCTGCCGTCCACATCCTTGAACTTCTTTTAGTCCCATCACACAACAAAATTCAGTTGCTGTTTGTTACCAAAAAAGGGTTCACAAGGAAAATTTTCAGCCTTGAATTTGAAACACTGATTGTGATTATCATTTTACTTTGTTAAGGATTTCACATTAAGTGTTCAGGAGAATAACATTTAGTTTCTCTCAAAACACTTAGTATTCTCTTAAAATCAATATATAATCCTTGAGAAAACTAACCGGTTTTCCCTGTGTGTTAAATCAAAAAGATTTATTATAAATATATATTAGGGACTTTTTTATACAGACCTTTTTTATATTAGCCTAAGAAATCTGTCATGGAAATTAATGACAGATTCTAGTGACTAAGTTTGAGATCTGATTTTTTGTGTGTGTTTACTTAAGATCTATTTTATTTACCAAGTTATAGGTATTTTTGGCTTCAAAAAAACAGTACAAAAATCATTCTGTGGCTCCTAGATCAAATAGAATTTTGTTCTATTGGATATGGGCTGTCTTTTTACAATCCATTAAAACTGCCTCCCCAGCTCTATGTCTCCAGTACTGTGAAGTATTTCTCACGCTTTTTTTAAATCTGGATTTTCAGGTACAACAATTTGCTCAGGTACGTTGTATGGGAATTCTGTTAACATCATAATTAGATAAACACTATATGCCACTAACAGCTATTCCTGGTGGTTGTGAAATTTGTATTTTTATTGCCCGTGGTTGCAATATCTAAATAAATGTTTCAGGGAACATATTTTTAAGCAAAGTATTATTCATTCCCAAAATTGTTAAGTGGTTGTGCTGTAAAAAATTTAACAACAGGCCAAGTAAAAGATAATAAATAAGTATTTTAAAAGGCAAGAGAAGAAAAACTAAGCATCTTGACAATCAAAAATATACAATTATCAAATTCTGTTATCTTATGTCGCCTATTTAAAGCATCTCTACCTGAGTATTCAATACACAAAACCGTCATTTAACTAGACTCTACAAAAACAGTCATAGCAGAAATCCTGATAAATGAAAATGTGACATTAAGCCACCTTTTCTTCTTTGTAGTCATTCAACCCATACACAGCAATGCCAATATCAACATTATTATTACCTTCTCATCTACGTCTTCTAAAGCTTTTCTGCATTCTTCTGCCTGGGATTCAATCTCTGCAGGGACTATGGTGTACATTTCAGAATACTTGATTCGTAGTTTTTCCATAATATTCTCGAAAGTTAGCTTCCCTTTTCTAAGAATGCTTTGTAGCTCCTAAAAACATTAAGAGTTTCAATACTCACAGGACTGGGGAAAAAGTTTAACTCAAAAAAGCGAAAGCAGTTTTCCAGCACATCCTTATGATTTAAAGGAGGATGCTTTACATGACAAAACCTCACTATTGATACAAGCTGATTAAGCCTGAGAGATACTCAGTTTAGTCAGATGATGCTTTCTAATTTGTAAGAATTAAACCTGATATCTCTTCATAGTGTCACGCCATTGTGGAGAAAAGACATTACAACATCCCCTGCTTCTAAAGTACCTCTAGGATTTAATTATATCTCAACCACAGTCCTGATCTAAAAAGCTGCAAGTAGCAAAAAGTTGCAAAGAAGTATTTTTTTGTTGTTATTAACTTGTTGCTATTTCTACTTCTTCCTGAATTATCATCACAATGATTCAGGGCCACTAAAAGCCCCAGGCTTAGAAGAGAAGTGTCTGCTTTCATGTAATTAGACAGCCCAGCAAAGCTCAACTTCTTTCAAAAGGGAAGGTTCCAGTTCCATGAAAAGAATGTAGGTTTTTGGAGATAAAAGAAACCTGAACAAATAGCCTATTGGTTGTGGCCTAGAAACAAAATCTGATCCACCTTCTCCTGCAGTAATTATAAAGCAGAAACTCATTTGTTTGGGAAAGTTTCCCAAAGATCAAGTGGAAAAATACCTCTTGACTTGACTGTGGCTTTTTTGTTTGTTTTGTTCTTACAGTAGCTGTTAGGTAGCATTATTTGTGTTAATGGAGTGAGTCACTGCACTGAAGAATGATTACAATTTTAAATGACTCCATGAAGTGTCACTGTTTTCCCTTTCTTAATCTCCAGCAGAGAACAAATCTGGAGAGGGAAAGTTGTAGAACAAAGACATTCAGACAAAGGTAGGTTGTATCAAAGGAGGGGGAAGTGTCATCTGTTTTATCTAGACCTGGTCTGGGGTACAGGGCTTCATTCAGAGCTACACTTAGGTGGCTCCCCATGAAGACTGCTTCAGGAAGCGTCTTTTCAACATTAATAAGCAAAAGCTCTGGTTAACAGCAGCAGGCAACTTTTGAATAAACCTCTGAATATTCTTTTTGGCTGTCATCATTGGACTAAAGTGAGAGTAAAAATCAGTCTGAAGAAATCAGCTCCCAAATTACCATTAGGTGGTACACAACCCCTTATCAGAGATAAAATATCATGTCCTATGCGAAACAAATAATCTAACAAGCTACTGAAGAGAGAGCTGACCCACGGTTCACCAACACACTTGAATGTGTTTGAGAAAGTCTGCTTGGTCCAGACTGGCCTACCCACCCTCCTGGTCATAACTCTGCTCCCTGTTTTCCAGCCATACTGATCTTCACCAAGGGTTCTGCCCGACCACAGGGCCTTTGCATATGTTCTTCTCTCTGAACCATCCTGCAGCCCTAGTCACTAAGTTACCTCTGCCCCAAGGACACTGGATACAAGATATGTACTTGCATCAGCCACAATCATAGTTCATTCCTTACTTACCTCAAACTCTTCTGTCTTTTCTGGGTGGTCCTGTAAGGCCATATTTTGGAAAGAAATTGTAGTCTGTTGAAATAAATTCTTCAAGGCAATTATTTCTCTTGTGAAGGTATGTCTCTCTTGGATTTCAGCCTGTATCAATTCCTTATATTTTTGTGCTTTCTGAAAAAGTCTAAAATAGAGCATTGGAATAGAATTGTTTCTCTCTCCTGCTTTTCTGTGAAGTAGTTTCAATTCAACAATTGATGTCTAAAGAGCTAATGAAAAATGATTTTATTCCCAAGAAGGACAGTACCAGTTTTCAATGATTTATATACCATATATACAAACACATATCAAATTCTATCACCCAATCAAAAACTTCTCCAAATCTTTCATCCCCAACTATCTTCTTTTCACATTGTAAATTCTAACTACAATCTCCATCCTCTACTTTACCCCATTTAATCCTTGAGTCCAAATGAAATGACTTAGAGGTGTGAATGTAGTTATGGGTGGGCTCTCGAGGATAGACAGCCCCACTGGCCTTTTTCTCTATAGCTGACTCTTTTTGCTGTGGATGTAACAAACACCTGAAGAGGCATTCAAGTAGGTAAAATCTTTCCTGAGAGTTATTTGGTAAGTATCATGAGCAATAATAAGAAATATATATTTGGCTCGGTGCCCGCACAATAGTTACACCGTCAGTCACATATACTGAGGGTGGTGGGTTTGAACCCAGCCCAGGCCAGCTAAACAACTGCAATAAAAAAATGGCCAGGAATTGTGGGGGGCGCCTATAGTCCCAACTACCTGGGAGGCTGAGGCAAGAGGATCACTTAAGCCCAAGAGTTGGAGGTTGCTGTGAGCTGTGACACTATGGCACTCTACTGAGGGCAACACAGTGAAACTGTCTCAAAAAAAAAAAAAAAGAAAGAAAGAAAGAAAGAAATATATATTTGGTCCCTACTCCAGTTCCTGAGACATACCTCTCAATATCTTTTGTTCTAATATTTGTCTTTGACCCCAAACCCTAACACAGAGCTCCTAAGACCTCTGTAATTCCCTGAGAAGAGCATCTTTTGTTCTTGGGGGGGGGGCTCTTGGATAGCCTTAAGAGAGGGGCTGGTTGACAAGGAGACCAGCCATGTGATTAGAGGGTTGGAACTTTCAGTACCACCCCTGACACATACCCCTGCTCCTTGCCCCAGCCTCCAAGGAGGGCATGTGAGCTGAAGGCTTAGTTGATCAGCAATGGTCAATGATGTAAAAAATCACGACTATGGTGCCTCCATAAAAAAACCAAAAAGATAGGGTCTGGAGAGCTTGTGGATGGCTGAAAACATGAAGGTGCCCAGCAGGCAGAGGGGAGCCCCGCTTTCCTCCTCTTGTCCTCTCAATTGCATCTTCAATCTATTTATCTGCATCCTTTATTATATCCTTTATTAATAAGCCAGGAAACACAAGTAAAGTGTATCCCTAAGTTCTGTGAGCTGTTCTAACAAATAATTGAACCCAAGGAAAGTGACAAAGGAACCCAGAAAAAAACCCTGCATATCTGGTGTCATAAGTGTGATACTGAATAGTAAGAACAGACAGAGAAAACAGCTGGATTTGTTCTTAGAATATGTCTGGCTATAAAATTATTATATCCCTTGCCCAGTAATAGTATTTCTCAGGATCTTTCTCAATGAATTAATTGCAGATGCAGATAGAGATTGTGGCATAAGCATATTTGATGCAGTGATTTTATAAAATAAAAAAAATTACATATGATGTAAAAGTTCTTTATTAGGAGCTAGGTTAAATAAATTGTGGCACAGTCTCATGGTAGAATATTATACAGCTAGCTATGTTTTAAATGAACATTTAACGGCATAAAAAGACAAACACAATAGCTGGTACATTATTCAGCAGAATACCAAACAGTGTAATTATTAGGATCACAGTTTTTAAAAAAAAAGTCATAATAAAAATGAGGGGAAAAAAGTGACTGGCAGTTGTTGTTGCTGAGTGGTGAGATTACGGTGAGTTTTATATTAATCTTTGTAAGTTTTCTTTTTCTAAGACAGTCTCACTTGGTCACTCCCAGTAGAGTGCTGTGGCATCTTAGCTCACAGCAATATCAAATTCTTGGGTTTAAGCTATCCTCCTGCCTCAGCCTCCAAAGTAGCTGGGACTACAGGTGCCTGCCACAACACCCAGCTATTTTTTTTTGTTGTAGTTGTTGTTTTAGCAGGTCGGGGTCAGGTTTGAACCTGCCAGCTCCAGTGTATGTGGCTGGTGCCCTAACCACTGAGCTACAGGGGGTCAAGCCAATCCCCTTTTATTTTTAGAGATAGTGTCTTGCTCTGTTCTCCAGGCTGGAGTGCAGTGGCATCATCACAGCTCACTACAACCTCAAACACTTGGGCTCAAATGATCTTCCTGCCTCAGCCTCTCAGTAGCTAGGACTACAGGTACATGCCTCCATACCCAGGTAATTTTTTTTTTTTGTGAGACTGTGTCTTAGTTTCTTGCCCAGGCTAATCTTGAACCCCTGGCCTCAAATGATCCTCCTGCTTTGGCCTCCCAGAGTACTTAGATTCTGGTGTAAGCCACTGCACACCCAGCTTCTTTTCCATCCCTTTTTATATCTACCAGTGTCCTCAACCAATTCTGTTGGATCATTGGCCTTTTTTTTTTTTTTTTTTTTTGAGACACAGCCTTAAGCTATCCCCCTGGGTAGAGTGCTGTGGCATCACAGCTCATAGCAACCTCCAACTCCTGGGCTCATGACAGTCTCCTGCCTCAGCCTCCAAAGTAGATGGGACCACAGGCACCCACCACAACGCCTGGCCATTTTTTGGTTGCAGCCATCATTGTTGTTTGGCAGGCCCGGGCTGGATTTGAACCCGCCACCTTAGGTGTATGTGGCTGGTGCCTTAGCCACTTGAGCCATAGGCACCGAGCCATCACTGGCCATTTTTCCACAATATTTTTATATTTTCTAAATTTGATATTTTCTAACTTCTGAACTATATAATATCTGTGATAGTTTTTTAGAAATCTTACTTGCTACATCGTTCTTGCATAGATGTAATCTCCTGCTTTGCTGGAACAGTTTCCACAGCCTCCATGCCTTCAGGAACACTCTGCACACTTTGGATGCGTTGGAAAAGCAGGTTCAGTGTGAGCTGCTGCTGCTCCATGTTCTCCTCACCTTGGCACAAACAGTCTTGCAGATCAGAGAGCTCCTCTGTGGTGGCTGCCTCTTTTGTTTTGGAAATCTGGGGGAGTTCTTCCTGAAGATTATCTAAAATAATTGCTTCTCGTTCAATCTAATTCAACAAACAAACAAAATAAGAGCTGAAATAAGTAAAATGCACTCTTATCCCCTGAGGACCTGAAGCATACCTTGGCAGCCATAATTATTGCATACTGTCTCCTCAAAGGGCCCCTCATGTCCGATCCCAGTTGAGAGTGACATTTGTTTTCCTATAGCTGGGAATATTAGTTCTCCACTGTCAGAATCCAACAGTTCCCTGCTAGTGCTCATATAGATATGTGATTACAATGAAGTATTTCTACTGTGGGCTGGAGGAAATGCTGTTAATATTTTCATAAATAATTTATTTCCCCTTCAGATTTCAGTGGGGTACAGCAGTCTTTCTCCTGAGATAAGCATAAGGTGGTTAGAATAAGCACTACCAAACTGCTGTCACTATGTGTAAAAGGTTGGGCAGCTACTGCACGTGGGGAATTTTGTGAGCAGGTCTCTTTTCCTTCACTTCTAATTCCTGGATGCTCAAAAAGCAAGCCCAGCGGATTCTCCCTACCCCAACAACTACCAAAGGAAAAGCAGCCTGAATTACCAGTCAAGTATTTGTCAAGCACTGGTATGTGAAGAAATTAGAAATACATAATCTACTGCAGAACATATGTGGAAACTGGAAATTCCACAACCCCTCCCAGAGGGATGACACAGAAGGTCCCAAAGGCCCCTGAATCAGATAGCTGGTACGCTTCTCTTCAAGTCCTCCAGCCCGCCCCTCTGCCATATTACTCCCGAATCACCTTCTGCCCTCATGCTGGGTTAACTCCTGTTCCGTGTTCAGATTTACAGATCTTACAATCTTCACATTACAGAATATCACATAGACTGACTACATGTATGATGTCATGCTAATTCCAGAATATCACACCTGCTGACTACATTTATGGTTCATGCTAATTGAAATGGTGAGAAGGACCTAGAGGCCCAGGCAGATGCACCAGAGGGCAGGAAATAATGCCTGGGAGAGTTTCAGGGCCCAGGTGTGTGGGGTCTGCAGGGCTTCTCCTCTAGTAAAGGCCAAGTTCTTCAATCTTGTAGCTCCACTCCTAAGAAAGGGACATAGGTGGGATGGGCCTCTGGGGGTTTTGCAGGTAGTCTCTGCTGTACTGATGATTATGCTGGGACCCATTCATCAGACAGCCAAGTGGCCTGGAGAAGCCACGGTGCTGCAGCAGGGGGGCCGCACTGTGAGCTGCCCTGCCACATGAGCCATAGGATCCGGCTGAGTCCCTAATGGCAATACACAGGTGCAGGTGTCAAGTAGCCCTTTTTCAAGAGCCCCAGTTATGAAATATGTGCACCTCCCATCACCTCAGACCTCAGCTCAGTTGGTAGAAGCCCTGGTTCTCAGGCAGACAGCTCCACATCCACTAGAGGATGAGACATGGGTTCCGCTGGGTCATTCTGCATTCGCCTGCTAGAAACCAGATGCAAACAAAGGAATTTCTACATTGTACACACAGGGTTTCTGACATGCATTGGGGTTGAAAGGACTGCCTCTGTAATCCAGGGGCAGCTCCTGGTGCTTCCAGGCCCAGTGAGAATCAGAAAAGAGAAGCTGCAGCAATCGTGACCCAGCAAGACTGCAGCGACCTGGGCTCAGACCTTCCCTGCACCAGGCCTGCTCAGCCTCATTGTTCCCTGGGATCACTTTCCAAAATAAATTGCCTGCTCACAAGCCCTGATCTCAGACTCTGCCATCTGCTGTGAAGTTGGTAAGTGACTGAAGAGGGGAACACGAGGGTGAGAACAACTGTCATTAGAACAATGATTTTACTCCAAAGTCAGGCAACTCTCCAACATGCAAAAGGATAAACAAACTATAGTCCTGCCAGCCCACATAATACCACTCAGGATAAAAAGAAATGCACCACTGGCATAATCAGTAACAAGAGGAAACACAAGGGCATTATGCTTAGTGAAAAGAGGCCAAACTCAAAAGGTTGCAGACTGTAAAAGTCCATTTATATGTCATTTCGGAAGTGGGAAAACTTTAGGAAAAGAAACAGATTAACGGTTGTCAAGACCTGGGGGGACGGAAGGGGCTGATAATAAAGGATCATGAGGGAACTTCTGTGGGGTGACAGAAACCTTGAACCTGGCCCTGAAATTCAACCCCTGAACCTTGAGTTTCTTGGTGGTCATGTGACCAGGTGCACCTGTCAGACTCAACAAACTTTATGCTAAGAATGAGAAGACAGGTTCCAAAACAGTAAAATAGTCGCCAAAAATATTGTGCATTCACTTTCCCACCCAGAAAAGGCTCTGCAATCCCTTCACAATTTTCCTTAGCCACAGAATCCTAATAAAATTGATTATAAAGCTTTTAGACTTTTGGCCAATTATAGAGTCCAGAAAGGGAGACGAATTCATAGTTGCACCATAAGCAAACACAGTGAAGGAGACTAAAAACCCAGAACCAGCAGAATTAGAAACTAATAAAGAAATGACTTTTGAACAAGGGGAAGATCTATGATTGCCTTTGAAGACACAACTTTATTCTAGTACCTTATGATCTTCAGAGCATAAAATGATGATTCTGAATAACCAGAAGCAAATAATTCTATCAAGCAGATTCTGTTTAAGAAAACAGGGAGGTAAGACAGGAGGGGAAGGGGGTAAATTAAAAAATTTTAATTGGTTTTTTAATTTGGAAATTTATAAACAGGCCATGAAGTTTTAAAAAATCTACACATAGGCTCGGCGCCTATGGCTCAAGTGGCTAAGGCGCCAGCCACATACACCTAAGGTGGCGGGTTCGAATCCCCAGCCCGGGCCCGCCAAACAACAATGATGGCTGCAACCAAAAAATGGCCAGGCGTTGTGGCTGGCGCCTGTGGTCCCAGCTACTTGGGAGGCTGAGGCAGGAGACTCGCTTGAGCCCAGGAGTTGGAGGTTGCTGTAACCGTGATGCCACAGCACTCTACCCAGGGGGGACAGCTTGAGGCTCCGTCTCAAAAAAAAAAAAAAAAAATCTACACATACAAACCACTTATTCCATAGAGACACTGGATGTTACTATAGACATTTTTTTTTGGTCACATATGAAAGCATCAAGCAAGCTAGCAGAATTTGACACGGGTAGGTCATTAGATAACACAATTTTTATTATTTTATTATTATTTTTATTTTGCGGTTTTTGGCCAGGGCTGGGTTTGAATCCACCACCTCTGACATATGGGGCCGGCGCCTTACTCCTTTGAACCACAGGCGCCGCCCAACACAACTTTTATTAAATGGATAAAAGCTACATTAAACTCTCATGCCGATTTGATGTATGTAAATATCATTTAAGTTGACAGTTTAGTGATTAAACACCAAAGTCTAAGTCTGAATACTCTCCCACCACTTGTGAATTTGAGCAAGTTTCTCGATCTCACTTTGCTTCACTTTTCTCTTCTATAAAGAAAGGATAATAAAATGTCCCCACAGGATTCTTATAAGATAATAAGATAATACATGTGAAGTACTTTGAACTATGCTTAGTGAATAAGCACTCAGTTGGATAGCTGTTGTCATTTTTATTATTGTTATTACATGAGGACTTATTTTTGTTTGAGCTATCTTTGAAAAACATATCTTGTTAGATTTCCCCTTGGACCTGAATTAATAAGATATAATTGCAAATGGGTGTATAGCAATAGTGAGATTAAATAAAAAGAGAAAAAGCTTAGAATTAGCTCAGACCTGGATTTGAATAAAAGGTATCCCTCAACAAATACTTCCTAAGTGTCTACTTAGAAGAAGGCTTTGGCTGGGTTCTAAAGTTATAGCGGTAACAAGACAGCTCTAGCTCCAGTTCACAGGGGCTTAGAGCTCAATCAATCTTTAACTGGGGCCCTGGTGCTATTACTTAATCTCTCAATGCTTCAGTATCCCCATCTAGAAAATGGTGATAAATATAATATTTATCTCCTAAGGGCAATGCAAGGATTCAGGGGCATCACACATGACCTGCCTTCTCTGTGTAGTGTAGTAACTCAAAATATGATGCCATTGTGGATAGACAAGAACTGGTTCTGGCAGCCCCCCAATGCATAATTTACAAAGCTAATTTTAACATTCGAAAGACTATTCACTAATCAAACCTCACCAGCACCACAAAGATACTCACTTTCAAAAATATCAAATTCTAAGCAGAATAGGTAGTGCTTATGTAGTTCAATCCCAAAAGCATGTAAATTACATCTAATTCCATACTGATCTGTTATATTTCTTTCTTAAGTAAATTTAGCAGAAGTTTTGAAATAAGAGAGATAAGTTTTCATTTAATGTTCTGATTTGTATCTCATTTATTCCTGGCCCTTTGGAAAGATTAGAGAATGTCCCAAGGTAATTTTATACTATTTTTAATTTTCTTTCTAAATATATGTGATGCTTACGTATTAAATCATGGTTAAATTAACATCTGTGATTGATAAATCTTGTCGAGGTTTTCTTTGATAGTTTTCAAAAAGAACATGATACCTCATATATTTAGGTCCACATCTAACAACTATAGTTGATTTCCAAAGTTAACACATGCACTTAATTTCAAAATTAGTTGGTTACTATGCACGTTACCTAATTCTAATCTTTAGTACAATGTAGAGATAGATATTTTTTAAGAAGATTTAACTTATTGTCTTAGTGAAGATTTTAAAGCTCCAACCAGCAAGTGGTCATTTTCTTTTTTTAAGATTCACCCTTAAATTTATTTAAGGAAGAAATAATTGGCACTAGTAAGTTTTTAAAATGTACACTGGCAAACTAAAAAAAGCAGAGCAGCAGCATTTTGGAGTGCAAGAACAAAATCTGATGTTCATAGTATATTCGAACATTTACAGAAAAATTTGAGAACATGGCTTTATGCTCGGGACTGCAAAACTTGTACAGATTTATTTCCTTTTGAAGTTTTCATAGTGCAGCTAACATCAATGAACACTGGTGTAATGCTTTACAACTGAGAAGCACTTTCTCATAATGCTCCTTTCTGTGGCATCTGCAGGAAGATGAGTCAACTCTGCAATCAGCTTTTACTCCATGTCTGTCTTTACCTTGTACCATTCTACCATTATTTTTTCTTTCCTCTATATTTTAAATCTAATTTATTTTACCCCTACATTGCCTCCACAAACCCCAACTTAGTTTTAAAACACTTACATGTTGCGACATGTTTTGAGCCAGTTATGGACTCGGGAGAGGTCAAAGTACCTTTTTATTGCCACCTTGGTACAGTTTTTCAACAACTTATTTAACTGAATAAAGAAACTCCTTATCTTAGAACTGTTTCTATTTTACATTTAAGAAGGCTTTATAAATTCAACAGAGTTATCATGGCTTTGTATAAAGTTTAAACACATCCAAGAATAACACAATTTCACAGCATCAACAGGCAATGAGTTTCCATGATACCTCAGTGACCACAATGACAGATACTATAGTAAAGAAATGATAATAAAATTTTTAAAAAAACTGTCAAGAACATAATTAATTTACATGAACTCCCCATGTAGGCAGGTAAAATGAATTTCAAAAGCAAATATCATCATGTTATTCAGAGTTATATATAATCTCTTTTGACAGAGAATGGGGAAATTTATGCTTTCACTTTACACTTCACTGCCTTACACAGTATTTCCAACAGTCTTGCTAAGCAGAATTTTTTCTCTCTTTAAGAAAATGTTTACAAAGTTGAAAAAAAAAAACCAACAAAATAGTAACCTTAATAATGAAACAAAAACAACCCAACAAGTGGTAAGAGAACAGAGGTCAACTTCTTATGTCATAGTCATAAGGCCTATTCAAACAATGAAATAACAAGAAGACCGGTTGCAGATATAAAAAACCTGACCATTTATATTTCATAGATTAATCTTCTGAAAGAATAAACTGTCACAAACCAGTTAACATTTCTGAATATGAAAGCCAAGTTCTACATAATCCTGCTTTTAACTATACCTTAAATTACCCACTTAATTATTAAGAAATCTTTTAAAAAATAGAATCTAGAACTTTCCCATTAAACATATGAAGTCAGTAAAGCTGAAGTGTAGTTTAGGGAAAAATATCAAAATATAAAGACCATATCACAATGCTAGCAAGCCACAATTTTTATACCCATCAATTCTATCTCTATTAATAAAATAAGCATTAAGTAAGAAATAAATAAGAGAGATAAGAGATTCTACTGTCCGAAGAATCTAGTGTTTTTTCATTTTTGTTTTTCCTCCATTTTGAGGACTTTCATAATAAAAATTTCTTGGGACAACATTCCTTGCTACTTTTTGTAGAATGTTCTCACATTCTCACATTTATTCTCAGAAATAAACAGATAAAAGTTATTAAGTCCTGTGAATGTCTTCTTAGTTATAAGCATATTTGCTTTTGACTTGATAAAAACTTGAGTTTATCCCTATGCTTATAATAATTTCTTGACAATACTAAATTTTATTTACCATCATAAACCAACATCTGACTTACAGGAGCTGCAAGGAAGTAGATAGACAATTCAAATGGCTCCTCAGAAATCCAATGACCCAATTCCAAAGACCACAGTACCCATTGAAAAGAGAGAACCCAGCAGCCACGTGCAATTCCCAACAGCACATTCAGGGTGCGAAGAGGCTCTCTTGAGAGCACATGACTGGTGGTCTCACAGATTTCCCATGCAAATGAAATGCCATTCAGTTTATTCACAACCTGGATGACAACATTTGCTTTTCAGATGTCATGCTTGTCATGACTAATGTTCTTGTTGGCTTTGTGCTTTTTCCATTTTTCTTTGATTCCTCATGAGGTCTGATGAGGTCCTTTAAGCTCTCACACGAGCCATTTAAAACGTCATACCCCGCTGGTTGACTGTTAACATCTGAACCCAAAGGAGCATGTGAAATGTTCAAAGATGCTTCACACAGAGTTACCTGGATTATCAGGAGGGTGTGTTTGATGATTTGGGAAGAGGTAGGAGGAAGATTTTTGCTTTTCTCTTTCATCTGTTGCAATCTCTTCTCCATTGTGCTGTGGTGACTACTACTATTATTTGGGGGACTATATATTAATGAACCATTAGATTCAAATAAAAGAACAGGTACATCATTATCTAGAGTTGTTTTTTGCCTTAGTAATTCTTCAGCCATTTCCTCATATTTCTTCTGAAATCTTTTATCATTTTCTGGTGTCTTAAAAATAAAATCTTCGGGCTGCATACACTTACTGTTTTTTTAACTAGACTTGGTAAATGTTCATTAGTATTAGCTGCAGGGAACAATGAGTCATCAACCTGTACTCCAGCTGTCCTGCATTTTTCAACCCACAGCACTGAGACAAGCTTTACGTTTCTTTGCTGAGCTTTGTCCCAAGTGCTCTGATAACCATCTTTGAATACAACATGAGTTACGTGTTTGTTAAAAGTTTTTGAGACCTTTGCCCCATGTGTGTAAGTTGGTTTGTAAATGTCTTTGAATGATTTTCTCTTCCATTGGATGACCATACTTCAACATAGGCTACCACATCCTTCAGGATGGAACCCCCTGGAGTTCCAGGGGCTGCCATAATGAGCTGCTGGCCAGGTCATTTATTTATAAGAATTATTTGACATCCCCAAGAAAGATACTCTTATAAAAAAATGTGAATAAATTCTTGGAGATTATTTTAATAGGGCCTAAGTACTATTTCTTTGTAATGTGCATGTGATGTTTACACATGGTACTGGTTGAGGACTCTTTTTATATATAAGAAAAAGTAAGAAATAATAAAACAATTTAAAAAACACTTGTTGGGAAACAATATGGTTTGGCTATTGAAAATGAAGTACTCACTTCTTCACTGATGAATTTCCACTCCTGTTTCAGTTCTTCACACCACATGTCCCATTCTTTAGCAGCTTCCAGCAAACTCAGCCATTTCCCCCACAGAGCCAACATGGTTTGGAGCAAACACACACCATCTTTTTCTGTGCATCTGGGTCTCAAGTGTCTGAGGGCCTGTCGTAGTTTCATTAATTCTTCCCTGATTGACATAAGACTTGACACCAAGGCCTTAAAGAAAAGAAACAGAAGGGATATAATGTCTATTATTTATTCTGAAACTTACTATAAACTATTTTAAATCTTGAACAAGTAGTAATTTTAACCTTCCATAAATATTACATGATCCATTTCTTGTTTTTTGGAAGTTAATTTGGGCCAGACAAGAATGACCTATATATTATTGTATTCTGCATGAATACAGGACTATGGTGACAAATGATCCATAAATCAGTATTTCCAAGTAAGAATGTATCTTCAAAAGTAAATATTCTAGAGGTATGGTGGTCTTCCCTTACCTGTGGTTTTGTTTTCCAAGGTTACAGCTACCCATGGTCAAGTGCAGCCCAAAAATATTAAATGAAAAAAGTCAGAAGCAAACAATTCATATGATGGCTCTGAGTAGAATGATGAAATCTTGTGCCCTCCTGCTCTGTGCCACTTTGGCCGTGAATCTTCCCTTTGTTAAGTTCTACAGGCTGTATACTTCCCTGCTTGTTAGGCATGTACTGGCCTTCCTGATCATCAGATTAACTGTCTCGGCATCCCAGCACTTGTGTTCACAGTCAATGGCTACCTAATAATACCTACATCATATACCTCATCTCATTACATCAGCTTTTTATCATCTCACATCCTACCAAGAAGAAGCGTGAAAACAGTACCATAAGATTTTTTTTTTTTGAGACAGAGTCTCACTCTGTGTCCTGGGTAGAGTGCTGTAGCATCATAGCTCACAACAACCTCAAACATTTGGGCTTGAGCAATCCTAATGCCTCAGCCTCCTGAGTAACTGGGATTATAGGTGTGAGCCACTATCCCAGGCTAGTTTTTCTATTTTTAGTAGAGAAAAGCTCTCACTTTTGCTCAAGCTGGTCTCGAACTCCCAAGCTCAAGTGATGTACCTACCCACCTTGGCCTCCCAGAGTGCTAGGATTACAGGTGTGAGCCACCATGCCCAGATACAATAACATATTTTGAGAGACAAAGATCATATTCACATAACTTTTATTAATAGTATAGTATATAGTTATGGTTGTTCTATTTGATTACTAGTTATTATTACATTTTGGGGTTTTTTTTGGTTTTTCTTTTGTTTTGGGGTTTTGGTTTTTTTTTTTTGAGATAGAGTCTCACTTTGTTGCCCTTGGTAGAGTGCCATGGCATCATAGCTCACAGCAACCTCACACTCCTGGGTCAAATCAACCTCTTATCTCAGCCTCCTGAGTAGCTGGGACTACAGGCACCCGCCACAAGGCCCATCTAGTTTTAGAAATGGGGTCTTGCTCTTGCTCAGGCTGTTCTCAAACTACTGACCTCAAGCAATCTGCCCGTCTGGGCCTCCCAAGTGCTAGGATTATAGGTGTGAGCCACCACGCCACACCCATTTTTTGTTTTTCATTTTTTTTTGCAACAGGGGTACTGCTCTGTCACCGAGGCTGAAGTGCAGTGGCACAATCATAGCTCACTGCAGCCTTGAAATCCTGGGCTCAGGCAAGTCCTCCCACCTCAGCCTTCCAAAGTGCTGGGACTACTACCATACACCCTAATTATTACTGTTAATCTCTTACTGTGCCTAATTTATAAATTTAGCTTTACCATAGGGATATACAGAGAACACACAGTATGTCTTGGGTTCGGTACTATACACAGTTTCAGGCTTCTAGTCAGGGTCTCGGACCGTATCCTCAGGTAAGGGGGCGTCTACTGCACACTTTGTTATTTTAGCATAAGTCTCATGTTTTACTGGGTAGGTTTTTGCATAATACTTCAAGCATCAACACAATATGAAAGGGGTATTGGGGGTTGCTTTGTTTTTGATAAATGTTGCGTAATTTAGAATGCCCTCATTCAAATCCTCATAACATATAATACCGTAGATGCTAACAGATCAAAATAAACTAAGTAAAAAGTAAAACTGTTATATAACAGAGTCTAAGAAATCAACAGAATTCAGAGTTTATGACCGTTGTAGTAAGTGCTCCGGGGACACCAAGACTCTGCAGCCGCTCCAGCAGCCTCCGTCAAAGGAGCACCAAAGGTGAAGCCTCACAGAAGCTGTAAGGACAGACTCATGGGGAGGAGTGTCCTATGAATCCGCTCAGTTAAACTTCTCAGAAACCAATGCCTCATTTTTTTCTCTCTGGCTTTCGGGGTGAGAGATTTTCACGGGTGTAGAGCTCTGTGAGAAGATTCCTGTGGGCTATGACTGACCCACATTCTCTTCTGCCTCCGCCCACCTGTTCTGCCTGGTTTTGCACACAGACTTACCAGAGACTTGCAAATAGTGTTACCTTGCTCTGTTCCACGTGCTCTAAAGCTTCTTTGTAAGACACTGGCAATGGGGACATGGACTGCCTGAGAACTGCTTCCATTTTTCTGAGGTTATCAAAAATTTTCTCTTCAGTCTTTCTATAGCACTGGTAACTCTCAAGACATCTAATGAGGTACAGTTAGGAGAAAAAAATTGGTATTAAATCATATTTATACAATATTCTAAACTTCCTAGAATAAATTTTCCCACTTTTTTTTTTTTTTTTTCTTAAGACAGAGTCTCACTCTGTTGCCCTGGGTTGAGTACTACGGTGTCACAGCTCACAGCAAATTCAAACTCTTGGGCTCAAGTGAGCCGCTTGCCTTAGCCTCCTTAGTAGCTAAGACTACAGGCACCCACCATACCTGGCTATTTTTCTAAAAAATAGTGTCTCGTTCTTGCTCAGGCTGATCTCAAACTCCTGAGCTTAAGCAATCCACCAGCATTGGCCTCCCAGAGTGCCGGGATTACAGGTGTGAGTCACCATACCCAACCAACCCTAAACGCAAACTTTATCAGGCAGGTAGGGCTGTCTTCAAAATGCCTAAATTTGAGTTTGTTAACAAAGTTCACTTCAGTAAAGTGAAAACTATGCTCTTGAATATGTTAATTAGGTATAAATTAGCACAATTCTTTAAAAAACCACTTAGTCCCTTAAACGGCTCTTATCTTTTGACTTCAACTTCTGCAGTCTACCTTAAGGAATTAGGGAATTTATACTAAAAAGAGTAAAACCTTTTACATAATAAAATCTTTTTACTCATTAGAGTATTAATTAAAACAGCAAAAAATGGAACATCTTTTATGTCTAACAAAAAGGTATGACTAAGAAAATTAAAAGCTCGGCGCCTGTTACTCAAGTGGCTAAGGCCCCAGCCACATACACCTGAACTGGCGGGTCTGAATCCAGCCTGGGCCCGACAAACAACGACAGCC